AAACCAAATATAATACCCAAGCTTACATTTATTTGCAATTCTAAGCCCGGCCTTGAACTAATGCTGTTGAAAACGAGGAATAAAAACGACATAAAAACATTAACCCTAACCCTAAACCTAACCCTAACCCTAATCCTAACCCTAGCCCTAACTCTAGCCCTAGCCCTAAACCCAAGGCTATTAGGAAGGGGTACAGCTAATTGCAAATCTAAGCCTAATCCTGAACCAATGCTGGCGAAAACGACCAAAAAACGATAAAAAAACATTAACCCTAACCCTAACCCTAACCCCAACCGTAACCATTATCCTAAACCAAAATCTAATACCAAAACATACAGCTAATTACAATTCTAAGACAGGCAGTGCGAATACTGGTGCAAACGCAAAACCAATCGCTAACCCTAACCCTAACCCTAACCCCAACCCTAACCCTAACTCTAGCCCTAACTCTAGCCCTAGCCCTAAACCATAGACTATTAGCAAGGGGTACAGCTAATTGCAATCCTAAGCCTAATCCTGAACCAATGCTGGCGAACACGATCAAAAAACGATAAAAAACATTAACCCTAACCCTAACCCTAACCCTTATACTAACCCTAACCCCAACCCTAACCCTCATCTTAAACCAAAATCCAATACCAAGGCATACAGCTAATTGCAATTTCTAAGCCACGGGCAATGCGAATGCTCGTGCTAAGGCAAAACCAAACACTAACCCTAACCCTAACCCTAACCCTAACCCTAACCCTAACCCTAACCCAAACACTGACCCTAGCAATGAACCAAATCTAATATCCAAGCTTACTTTTATTTGCAATTCTAAGCCTGGCCTTGAACTAATGCATTTGAAAACGAGTAAAATAACGACAAAAAACCCTATCTGAAAATTATCAAAAAACGATGAAAAACATTAACCCTAACCCTAAACCTAACCCGGTTCATTAAACCCTAACCCTAACACAAACCCTAACCCTAATCCTAAACCAAAATATAATACCAAGGCATATAGATAATTGCAGTTCTAAGACACAGGCAATGCGATTGCTGGCGCAAACGCAAAATCAAACGCTAACCATAACCCTAACCCTAACCCGAATTCTAGGCCCTAGCCCTAAACCAAAGGCAATTAGTCAGGGGTACAGCTAATTGCAATTCTAAGCCTAATCCTGAAACAATGCTGGCGAAAACGATCACAAAACGATAAAAAATATTAACCCTAACCCTAACCTTAACCCTAACCCTAACCCTTTCCCCAACCCTAACCCTCATCTTACACCAAAATCTAATACCAAGGCATACAGCTAATTGCAATTCTAAGCCACAGGCAATGCGAATGCTGGTGCAAACGCAAAACCGAACCCATACCCTAACCCTAACCCTAATCCTAACCCTACCCCTAACACTAACCCTAACCCTAGCCCTAGCCATAAACCAAACGCTATTAGGAAGGGGTACAGCTAATTGAAATTCTAAGCCTAATTCTGAACCAAGGCTGGCGAAAACGATCAAAAAACGAAAAAAATAACATTAACCGTAACCGTAACCCTAACCCTAACCCTTATCCTAACCCTAACCCTAACCCTAACCCAAACACCGACCCTAGCCCTGAACCAAATCTAACACCTTAAGCTTCCATTTATATGCAATTCTAAGCCTGGCCTTGAAATAATGCTGTTGAAAACGAGTAATAAAAACGACATAAAAACATTAACCCTAACCCTAACCCTAACCCTAACCCTAACCCTAACCCTAACTCTAGCCCTAGCCCTAAACCCAAGGCTATTAGGAAGGGGTACAGCTAATTGCAATTCTAAGCCTAATCCTGAGCCAATGCTGGCGAAAACGATCAAAAAACGATAACAACATTAACCCTAACCCTAACCCTAACCCTAACCCTAACCCCAACCCTAACCCTAATCCTAAACCAAAATATAATACCACAGGCAATGCGAATGCTGGTGCAAACGCAAAACCGAACGCTAACCCTAACCCTAACCCTAATCCTAACCCTAACCCTAACCCTAACCCTAACCCAAACACTGACACTAGCCCTGAACCAAATCTAACACCTTAAGCTTCCATTTATTTGCAATTCTAAGCCTGGCCTTGAACTAATGCTGTTGAAAAAGACCAAAAAACATTAACCCTAACCCTAACCCTAACCCTAACCCTAACCCTAACCCTAACTCTAGCCCTAGGCCTAAACCAAATCTAATACCCAAGCTTACATTTATTTGCAATTCTAAGCCTGGCCTTGAACTAATGCTGTTGAAAACGAGTAATAAAAACGACAAAAAAACATTAACCCTAACCCTAACCATAACCCTAACCCTAACTCTAGCCCTAGCCCTAAACCCGAGGCTTTTAGGAAGGGGTACAGCTAATTGCAATTCTAAGCCTAATCCTGAACCAATGCTGGCGAAATGATCAAAAAACGATAAAAAACATTAACCCTGACCCTAACCCTAACCCTAACCCTAACCCTAACCCTAACCCTAACCCTAATCCTAAACCAAAATATAATACCAAGCCATTCAGCTAATTGCAATTCTAAGACACAGGCAATGCGAATGCTGGTGCAAACGCAAAATCAAACGCTAACCCTAACCCTAACCCTAACCCTAACCCAAATACTGACCCTTGCCCCGAACCAAATCTAATACCTAAAGCTTCCATTTATTTGAATTTCTAAGCCTGGCTTTGAACTAATGCTGTTGAAAACGAGTAAAAAAACGACAAAAATCATTAACCCTAACCCTAACCCTAACCCTAACTCTAGCCATAGCCCTAAACCAAATCTAATACCCAAGCTTACATTTATTTGCAATTCTAACCCCGGCCTTGAACTAATGCAGTTGAAAACGAGGAATAAAAACGACATAAAAACATTAACCCTAACCCTAACCCTAACCCTAACCCTAATCCTAACCCTAGCCCTAACTCTAGCCCTAGCCCTAAACCCAAGGCTATTAGGAAGGGGTACAGCTAATTGCAATTCTAAGCCTAATCCTGAACCAATGCTGCCGAAAACGACCAACAAACTATAAAAAAACATTAACCCTAACCCTAACTGATGATGACGAACCCGGAGCCCAGTTTGCTCTCGACAAAAACTCACATGACAACGTTGTTCTTTTCTTATTGTCAACTAACTTTGATAACTCATCGCGAAAGCAAAGAAAATGCAAACCTCTCACGGCTGAGGTAGACAGAACAAGCCCCTCTTTCTCTCACGACACTCCCCCAAGCAGGGAGCAACAGCAATATCAAAAGCAAAGAAAGCGCCACGCGTACGGCACATGCGGGGCCATATATGCAACCTACGACAAATTAGCAGCAGCGCTGGTACAACAGAAATGTACAAAACGCCGGAAACGTAAAGGTCATGAACCCATGCGACCCCCTGCCGGCGTGGACAGGGTGGCTACAGATATAAACGGACTCATATCGAGCCAAGAAAGATACGCGACAGATACAACTCAAGCATATAGAAACAAGAAATAATTAGTGCACTGCAAGTGCCAGCGTAATCTGGCATAATGGCAAATATTGCATAGTAGTGAAGGTGAGTCCTGAACAAGCAGCGTACAAAGCTTGCAACACGGACATAATACACGCGCAATTGTTGCATAGTAGAACAATGCCCGTCACGCACCAAAAGAAGCAGAACTCAGTGCTAAATAGAGGCTCTTCTTATCAATTCTCCCCTTCCTCGATATCTCATATCGAAAGTGTGCCATAACGGAGATCTATGGCAATACAAATTGCATCATAGTAGAACTACTACAAATTGTAGTATCACACAGATAACTAAGAATCTAACTCGTGATACACTGAATGGCAATAATGTGTCACTGCGATGACTTCACTTGCATGTGTCGCATACTACAGTTCACAATGTTACTCACTCTGGTGTGGCTTCCAATGGGCACAACCTTGCAATAGGTCGCACAAAGGTCTTCTCACCAACCTTCACCTTCGCTACTCGTACGTGACCGTCTCGGCCTGGATACGTTTCCAGCACTCGTGCCAATGGCCAGTGCCCTCGTGGTGTATCGGGTGACAGAAGTAGCATGACATCACCGACTTGAACTTCACTTTGAGGCTTCTTCCACTTCTGTCTGGCGCTCAGGCTTGGTAGCCACTCCTTGATCCATCTCTCCCAGAAGTGGCGCACCAGTTCTTGTACTCGTCGCCACCGTCGTTGAGGATTGAAGCTCGTGTGGTCGACTGTTGATGGAGCAAACACACCTCCCATCTGGCCGAACAGGAAATGATTGGGTGTGAGTGGCGTCTCATCGAGCGGATGGCTTGACTGATAGGTCAGGGGCCTCGAGTTGATTAGGCTTTCTGCACCAACCAATGCACTTGTCAATTCTTCGTCTGTTGTCTCAGCATTTCCAAGTATGGCGTAGATAGCACGTTTGGCAGCTCGGACCATCACCTCGAACGATCCTCCAAAGTGTGGAGCGGCTGGTGGATTGAACTGCCAATGAATGCCCTGATCGGCGGTCGTCCGTACTATGCAGTCTTGATCCAAAGCATCGTGTAACTCCTGAAGCTCTCTCTGCGCGCCGACAAAGTTGGTTCCATTGTCTGATAACATATGCTGTGGTAGACCACGGCGTCCGACGAATCTGTAGAAGGCGTTGAGGAATGAGCTTGTGTCGAGTCCATAGGCAAGCTCCAAATGCACTGCGCGTGTAGCGAGACACGTAAACAGACATAGATAGCGCTTCTGCCTCTTTCTGCCACGCCCTTGGACCGTGGTAAATGGACCGGCAAAATATACTCCGGTTCTTGCGAAAGCTCGGAAGGATGGTGTGATCCTGGTGCGTGGAAGTGGAGCCATTATCTGATGTGCAGGCTTGGCCTTCAGCAGCTTGCATCTCGGACATTTCCGTTCCATCTCACGAATTGCTTCCCTGGCGGCATTGATCCAGAATCGCGCACTGATATTAGCGAGGATGTGGTTAGTGCCTCCCACATGCTGAGCTAACTCATGATAGTGCTGAATGATGAGCTGGGTGCACTGTATCCTCTGGCAGGTACTCTGCATATGCCAGTCTTCCTTGACAGCGCAGTACACCGTTGTCGTCGATCATTGGGTTCATGGGGCTTAATTCGCTTCTTGCCGACACCACTTTTCTCTGGCCGAGCACCTTGATCTCGTCCGAGAAGGCATCATGTTGGGCCATCTTCAAAACCTCGGTCTCTGCATCACTGATCTCTGCTGATGAGAGCGGACCTGTCATTCTGTCGGACTTGATTGTACGACAATTGGTCACGAAGCGTCTCACTAACGCCCTTGCGCGGAGTAGTCGGCTCCATGATCCGAAGCGCTCGGGGTCAAGCCGCCATTGCTGCTGTTGCTGGTTGCTAGGACCTGTCGTCTTGTCATTGTCGGCCGCTGTCTGAAACAGGCTTGTAATTGCGTTGGTCTGCTGTTGTTCTTTCTTCTCTTCCTTGCGCATCGTCTCGACATTGACCTTGGTCTCCACCCGCTGTGGCCAAGTTGTAGCATCCTGTAGTAGATATGATGGACCATTCCACCACATGCTGTCATCTACTTGTTGCACTGAACACCCTCGTGATATCTTGTCGGCTGGGTTTTGCTCGGTTGGTACATGATGCCATTGCGCTGGTTCCGAGAACCCTTGTATTTCGCTGACTCGGTTGGCCACGAACGTTTTATACCTCTTGCTTTGGCCACGGATCCAATACAGGACGTTCATGCTATCCGTCCAGAACACCAGGGCTGACTTCGGTAGTGCCAACGCGTTGGCGATCTGCCTAGCCAGCTGTGTCGCAATCACTGCTGCTTGTAACTCCAGGCGCGGGATGCTAGTTGTTGACAGAGGGGCTATTCTCGATTTCGCTGCAATCAATCGTGATGTTACTTCATCTGTACTGCCCTGCACTCGGTAGTAGGCAACTGCTCCATGCGCCTTTTCTGAAGCGTCAGCGAAGATGTGGCATTGGACGTTTGAAGCTACTGGCTGATCCGGTGGCTGGAGACACCGCGGAATGGCGACTGATGCAAGCAGTGGGAGTTCTTCAAACCACTGCCGGACAGCTTGGCACAGCTGTGGGTCCAATGGATCATCCCAAGCGACACCGTCTGCCCACATATCTTGCAGCAACATCTTGGCTCGGATTGTCAGAGGAGCCAGAAGACCCAAGGGATCGAATATTGTCGCCACTCGTTTCAGCACATTCCGCTTTGTGTACTGAAATGTTTCCGGTAGCGGTGAGAGCTTGAACGAGAAGGCGTCACTAGTTGCATCGTATTGCACTCCTAGCGTCTTCACTGAGGGCAAATCACTTTTACTGAGGTCGACTTGCAGTGCTCGGTCTGTTGCTGGTATCTGCTCTAGTACTTCCTTTGAATTGGAGATCCACTTGCGAGCAACCATTCCAGTGTCACTCCACAGATCTGAAAGTTGTCGATAGAGGCTGATTGCATCTGCAACTGATGGTGCTGAATCCAGACTGTCATCCATGTATGTCGACTGAAGGACGGTCTCAGCTGCTTGCGGCCATTTGCTACTGTTTGCCTTAGCGTGCTCCTGGGTGACCAGCTGTGCGAGGAATGGTGAGCAATTGACACCGAACACGACTCTGGTGAATTCATACTCGTCTGGTTCATTGTCCCGCCCTGGGTCACTGCGCCACAGAAATCGGTGGTACGGACGATCCTCTTCAGCAAGATGAATTTGGAGATACATCTCACTGATATGACAGGCCACTGCGATCGGATTCTTGCGGAAGCGAAGTAGTACTTTCGCTAGATCCTGTTGCAGCTTAGGACCCTGATGTATCGTATCATTCAGCGAGACTCCATTAAGGCGAGCAGATGCATCAAACACGATACGCACCTTGGTAGTACTCTTGTCCGGTCTGAGTACTGGGAAGTGTGGTAGCAGCCATTTGGATGGTGGAGGGGGCTCGCCTGGTAAGACTAGTCGAACGTACCCTTTTTCCACATACTGTTGAATGATTTTGTCGTATGATGCTGCTACATCTGGTTGCTTTGCTAAACGCCGTTCGGTACTACGGAGTCGCTGCATTGCCATCTATTGGTTGTTGGGCAGTTGTGGGCCGTCTTTACGCCACGGCACACTTACTTGATGTCTCTGGTCGTTCTTCACCATTGATTTGACAGTTGCATCCACGATGGTCTGATCATCTGGACTGAATGCGGTTTCCAAATCCGAGTCGGTCTTTTCGAGCTCCCAGAACTGTCGGAGGAGAGTGTCGGCTTCCATTTCGTGCCTGTCACCCGCGTACAGAGTGATGGCGGTATGTGCATGTGACGTTGTTGCCGTTGGTCCAACACAAGTCCAGCCCAGTGGTGTTAGACGGGCAATCGGCTCACCTGGTTGCCCACGAATGTCCCTCAGCGATTCGTGCAGGTTAGCATGATCATTTCCAATGAGGAGATCCACGCCTCGATTGTCATTAATGGCTGGAAACTGGATGCCCTTCAAGTGTTTCCATTTTGGGCCATGTTGACGCCAATCAATTGCGGGGAGGTCTCCCACAACTCGTCGCGTTGTTCTTGCTTCTATTCGAGCTGTCTCACGTCCGTCCAGGCCGGAGATGTTCACAGAGACAGGAGTAGTGGAGAATGTTTCCTGCCGTCCATTGAGCGTGCTGATTGTCACCTTCTCAGTATGACCCTGTAACCCTAATTCAGCGGCTACATCAGCATTTATATATGACATTGTACTCCCGTCGTCGAGAATAGCATTCACAACCACTTGTCTATTGGCGTTGCGTAGTATCACTGGAACAGTTCTCAAGGACACTGGTGTAGTTGTGGTACTTGGTTTGTTGCACTCCCCTTCCCTGACAGACAATGCCGTTCCATGCACCTTGTTGTCTGCCTTGCTAGAGGCCTTGTCGCTACTCGGTGAGGACTTGCTGGTGTGGTTACTACGTGGCTTGCTGCTATCTGCTAGAGCAGCTGTCTGATTGACACTAACAGCATTACAAGAGCCTTGTCTGTTGGAGTCGTGCAAGGTCCGATGATGGGTGTCCTTGCAACCGTCAATGCCGCAGGTGTACGTCTTTGAGCATTCCTTGCCAGTGTGACCATATGACAAGCATCTGAAACAGACATTGGCTTGCTTTGCTACTTGCCACCGTTTTCCGACACTGTAGAACTTGAACTCCGCACACTTCCACAGTGGATGCGGTCCATTACATGCCGGGCAATCTCGGTTGGCTGGTATACCAGCATTTGCGAATGTACGCGCCGTATTCTTGAACATTGGTGGTGTCCGGCTGGTGAACTGTCGTCTATGCACACTGGCTGATTGAGCTGGCTGTGACTGAGCTGCCGCGTTGCCACTGAATCCGCTCACGGTTTCTGACGCTACTACCAAGAACTCTGCCTCCAGGTTCACCCACTCGAGAAGTACTTCAACTGTCTCTGGCTGAGATTTATCATGTCGCCACCGGTGGTATTGGGCGAGGTTACGTTCGTCTAGCTTCCTCAACAGACTGAGGTAGAATGTGCCATGGCCCAATTCCATGGCTCGACCTGAATCTTTCATGTTGACTACGGCCACGGCAAGCAGCTCGGCAAAGTGCTCCATCTCTTTCGGTCGGTTGGCTCTCACTACGGACATACTATCGATCTGTTCAATATGTAGAGCCACACGGCGACGCTCACCGCCATACTTGCGCTCTAGCAACTTCTTAGCTGCGTCATAGGCTGATGGTGAGTAGCCAAATCGCTCGATGGCTGTCAGTGCGTCTCCTGCCAAATACTGCCTCAATTGCAACAGCTTGTACTGAGGAGTGGCGGGTGCACTATCTACACATGCCATGAAAGCTTCTCGGAATGACTCATACGTACGTTTGTCACCGCTGAATATTGGTATGCCAACTCGTTGTAGCTGCTTCCATGGCTCTGCACGAGCCTGGTTTTGTTGCATTTGAGGTAGCCCTGTTGCATACATTTGATTTCCAATATTGGATGGTGTTGCATAAACCATTGGCTGTTGCGTGTACCCGGAAGACATCTGTGGTTGGTGAGTATGCCCATATACATTAGTACCCGTAGAAGCCATTGACATTGTGCTCACAGGCGGTGCCTGCCACTGGATACCTGACTGGGGCATCTGTGGTTGGTTAGTATGCCCATATACATTAGTACCCGTAGAAGCCATTGACATTGTGCTCACAGGCGGTGCCTGCCACTGGATACCTGACTGGGGCATCTGTGGTTGGTTAGTAGGTCCATATACATTAGTACCTGTAGACATTGGATGCTTTCTGAAAGAGTGTGGATTAGCCTGTGTACCAACACTGTACTTAGTATTCATTGCAGTATTCACACTATGCGTACTGGTTGAGGATACAGAATTGCTTGGCAGAACATTGCTACTGCCCAAGGGTAATGTAGGACCAGTAACCTTAGAACTACTACTAGATGTACTGCCTGAGGTAGTTGTGTTTGCAGTAGCAGGCCTAGCAAGAACACTCACACCATCATTGACACTTACTGTGGTACTTGTCATGGTCACTGTTGCAGAACCATCTGTATACTGGCCAATGTTGGACTGGACAGCGCTGGTGACCTCTGGCCTGTCTGGGATGGTACCACCAGTAGTACCAGTAGCTGTTGAAATTGAGTGCCCTGTTACTGCTGTGCGGTCATCAGTGTCAAAAGGTAGTTGTTGATCAGTTGCATTTGTTGCATCTCCGCTGGCGGACCTGTTCACGTCTCGTTGTTGTAGCGATCTGGCCAGCAATCCCGGTTGTGACTCAAACCCAAGTGGTCCTGCGGACAGTTCATTGCTGGAAACATGTCCTGGCCACCAACCACCGACTTCCCTGGCTTCATCGCGACACTGTTGAGACGAATTACCGGTATACTGCTGCGTTTCAGCTGAGGCGACTGGCACGCCGTGAGTTGTTCTTACAATTTCAAACGCCAAGTCCGTCGCTTCGTCAAATTGCCTCTGGAGTACTTCTAGCTCACTAATCATCTTATCTTTCTCTCTCGCATTACTCTCGGCTTCGTATAAACCAGCTAGATCTGTGATCGTCCCTTCCGCTCTCTCATATGCTCTTTCGAGCTCGTTCATTTCTCTTTCGGCATCGAAGTAGCTCTCATCGTCCGTACATCGCATCTGCACTCGCTGGGCTTTTACAATCAGCCCTCGTCGGATGTTCGTGAATTGCTTCTTGTCCTGCGTTTTCCTGGCTCGGAGTGCACAGATGCTCGATCCTGCTTCACTGGCATCACCCGACCCACCTTGCGTTGGTGGCGCATCGGATGTCTGCTCAGCGTCTTGACCTCGGCAGCTCCCTGTGCTTGCAGTATCGTCTGCAACTACCTCCGACGGTTGAGCCTCGCTCCTGGAGTCCTGCGGTTCGTTGGAGCCTTGTTGCTCCATCTCAACTAATCGTGAATCACTCTAGTAAAAACCATCCTCTTCTACCAATTTGATGATGACGAACCCGGAGCCCAGTTTGCTCTCGACAAAAACTCACACGACAACGTTGATCTTTTCTTATTGTCAACTAACTTTGATAACTCATCGCGAAAGCAAAGAAAATGCAAACCTCTCACGGCTGAGGTAGAAAGAACAAGCCCCTCTTTTTCTCACGACACTCCCCCAAGCAGGGAGCAACAGCAATATCAAAAGCAAAGAAAGCGCCGCGCGTACGGCACATGCGGGGCCATATATGCAACCTATGACAAATTAGCAGCAGCGCTGGTACAACAGAAATGTACAAAACGCCGGAAACGTAAAGGTCATGAACCCATGCGACCCCCTGCCGGCGTGGACAGGGTGGCTACAGATATAAACGGACTCATATCGAGCCAAGAAAGATACGCGACAGATACAACTCAAGCATATAGAAACAAGAAATAATTAGTGCACTGCAAGTGCCAGCGTAATCTGGCATAATGGCAAATATTGCATAGTAGTGAAGGTGAGTCCTGAACAAGCAGCGTACAAAGCTTGCAACACGGACATAATACACGCGCAATTGTTGCACAGTAGAACAATGCCCGTCACGCACCAAAAGAAGCTGAACTCAGTGCTAAATAGAGGCTCTTCTTATCACTAACCCTAACCCTAACCCTAACCCTAACCCTAACCCCAAACCTAACCCAAACCCTAACCCTAATCCTAAACCAAAATATAATACCAAGGCATACAGCTAATTGCAATTCTAAGCCAAAGGCAATGCGAATGCTGGTGCAATTGCAAAACCGAACGCTAACCCTAACCCTAACGCTAACCCTAACCCTAACCCAAACACTGACCCTAGCCCTGAACCAAATCGAACACCTTAAGCTTCCATTTATTTGCAATTCTAAGCCTGGCCTTGAACTAATGCTGTTGAAAACGACCAAAAAACATTAACCCTAACCCTAACCCTAACCCTAACCCTAACCCTAACCCTAACCCTAACTCTAGCCCTAGCCCTAAACCAAATCTAATACCCAAGCTTACATTTATTTGCAATTCTAAGCCTGGCCTTGAACTAATGCTGTTGAAAACGAGTAATCAAAACGACATAAAAACATTAACTCTAACCCTAACCCTAACCCTAACCCTAACTCTAACCCTAACTCTAGCCCCAGCCATAAACCCAAGACTATTAGGAAGGGGTACAGCTAATTGCAATTCTAAGCCTACTCCTGAACCAATGCTGGCGAAAACGATCAAAAAACGATAAAAAATATTAACCCTAACCCTAACCCTAACCCTAACCCTAACCCTAACCCCAACCCTAACCCTAATCCTAAACCAAAATATAATACCAAGGCATACAGCTAATTGCAATTTTAAGCCACAGGCAATGCGAATGCTGGTGCAAACGCAAAACCGAACGCTAACCCTAACCCTAACCCTAATCCTAACCCTAACCCTAACCCTAACCCAAACACTGACCCTAGCCCTGAACCAAATCTAACACCTTAAGCTTCCATTTATTCGCAATTCTAAGCCGGGCCTTGAACTAATGCTGTGGAAAACGAGTAAAAAACGACAAAAAAACATTAACACTAACCCTAACCCTAACCCTAACCCTAACCCTAACCCTA